CTGCAATATGTAACTTTTTGGGTGAACCGACCAAATTCACATAGAAATGGGAGTTATAGATCTGTCATTGAAAGAAAGTCTAAGAAGAGGTAGATCTGTTCCATGTGCACTCATTCTATGCTTCCTGTTCTTAAGTTTAGTTTTTGGTTTTGCTTTTTAGCTTTTACTTTCGGTTTTGTACACCAGCTTCAAACAGCTGAAAATATATGTCACAGCGGTTTAGATGGACAATGATTCTTTACACTATACATTGCATGTTTTGTCACAAACTAAAATTAGAAGAACTATTTGAATTTTTTCAACCAGGAAATGGCGGAGCAATTTCTGCACATTGCACGTTTTTTAAGAATCTTTTAAATTGGCTTATTTCTGTTTGTCTGCAAAAGCCTGTAACTTTGCAACATGGAATTCCATCCTCTATTCTAAACCGATCAAACGCATAATTAACACAGCCTGGAGGAAATTATGTCTTCCACGCCTCAGACCTCTGAAGGAAGGGTGTGTCTCTCGGGTTATGCGAGATGCCATGCCATGACATCACTCAGCTGCAGGAGAGTGGCCAATTGGAGAGCAGGCTTTCTCCAGACAGACTGAAAGCAGGAAGCCGAGCTATTTCAACACAACTGCACTCACTTTACTCCCACTCAAATCACATGGTATTCATAGCACCAGCATCCATTTGTCTGATTTTAATATTATAGTTTATCTTAAAAGCACAGTGGCTATTGACAACATCTTCTGTAGTTTTACCTGCGCGGTCACGCTATCATTCTTCCTGTCATAGCAACTCTGTACCAGCAGGTTAGGTAGGATATGTGTCAGTTTGGAATGAAACCCCATGCCTGTCTCCCTGGTGTGCTGGTATTCAGCCAGTACAGGTCAGAACAATGTCTGCTGCTCATGCACTGCATTCTCATGTCCTTTAAGAATGCTGTCACCTGCCCTGACCACAGGGGTATTATCCTGTGTGACCTACAATCAGTGTGATATGTTCATTGGTTTCCTTTTGAAACCAGTGAGAATGTAATGACTGCCGCTACACAAACAAAAGCCTTGAGAGGAGTCAATGGCCTCAACGGCGCCATAAAATATAATTCAATGAAACTGGTGACAATAACGCGATAATGATTATCAATGGTGACAAACAGGTAAACATTCACAAGGCCGCGGGGCCAGACAGATTACCAGGACGTGTACTCGGAGCATGCGCGGACCAACTGGCAAGTGTCTTCACTGACATTTTCAACTTCTCCCTGACCGAGTCTGTAATACCTACATTTTCAAGCAGACCACCATAGTCCCTGTGCCCAAGAACGCCAGGTAACCTGCCTAAATGACTACCGCCCCGTAGCACTCACGTCGGTAGCCATGATGTGCTTTGAAAGGCTGGTCATGGCTCACATCAACACCATCATCCCAGAAACCCTAGACCCACTCCAATTCGCATACCGCCCCAACAGATCCACAGATGACTCAATCTCAATTGCACTCCACACTGCCCTTTCCCACCTGGAGAAAAGGAACACCTATGTGAGAATGCTGTTCATTGACTACAGCTCAGCGTTCAACACCATAGTGCCCACAAAGCTCATCACCAAGTTCAGGACCCTGGGACTAAACATCTCCCTCTGCAACTGGATCCTGGATTCCTGACGAGCCTCCACCAGGTGGTAAGGGTAGGCAACAACACATCTGCCACACTGATCCTCAACATGGGGGCCCCTCAGGGATGCGTGCTTCGTCCCCTCCTGTACTCCCTGTTCACCCACGACTCCAACACCATCATTAAGTTTGCTGACGACACAATGGTGGTAGGCCTGATCACCGACAATGATGAGACAGCCTATAGGGAGGAGGTCCGAGACCTGGCAGTGTGGTGCCAGGACAACAATCTCTCCCTGAACGTGAGCAAGACAAAGGAGCTGAGTGTGGACTACAGGAAAGGAGGGCCGAACACGCCCCCATTCACATCGACAGGGCTGTAGTGGAGCGGGTGTCCACATCACCAACAAACTATATCATGGTCCAAACACACCAAGACAGTCATGAAGAGGGCACGACAATGCCTATTCCCCCTCAGGAGACTGAAAAGATTTGTCATGGGTCCCCTGATCCTCAAAATGTTCTACAGCTGCACCATCTATAGCATCCTGACCGGTTGCATCACCGCCTGGTATGGCAACTGCTCGGCATCTGACCGCAAGGCGCTACAGAGGGTAGTGCGTACGGCCCAGTACATCACTGGGGCCAAGCTTCCTGCCATCCAGGACCTCTATACCAGGCGGTGTTAGAGGAAGGCCCAACAAATTGTCAAAGAATCCAGCCACCCTAGTCATAGACTGTTCTCTCTGCTTAAACTTTTGTTTATTTAGTAAATATTTTCTTAACTCTATTTTCTTAACTGCGTTGTTGGTTAAGGGCTTGTAAATAAGCCTTTCGCAGTAAGGTCTAAACCTTTTATATTCAGCTTATGTGACCAAATAAAATGTGATCTGATAAATAAGTAGGTCGGCTTTCGAAACCCAAGATGGCTGCATGTGACGGCATTGTTTTGAAGGCACTGCTGAACACAGGACAATCTCCGATGTTTTAACAAGGTTAGTATAGAGACCTTAGGACTATTATGTTGTTGAGACATACGTTGGTCCTGTCTGGTTGCTGTCTGTCGTGCTTGTGCCAATGCAGCCTGGGCATTTCTAACACAATGGCCCATTTTTCTTTCTGTCAAGTACCCAACTCTGGCCATTTCTTGTCTTTGAGGCCCTCATTATTGGTCAAATAATATTCTGCATAAAACCCACACAATTTAGATAGCCCCACTGGGCTAAAGATGGACCAGCCCGTCTGGCATTTGCCAGAACTGCCCTATGGCCAGTCTGTTTCTGACTGCATGCCTTGACACCCAGTATCTACCAGTCGCAGTACATTACTAATGCTGTGGATCTATTGGTTGATTGTCAAGCTATGGATGGCACTTCACTGTTCTACATGGGTGCTTGTGAGCTGTGGAATACAGTATTTGCATCATCATGTACTCCGAGGTGCCTAACTTAAAACAGAAATATGAGTTGTATGACAGTGGATGCTTCTAGATCGTTTCCTGTGATTATCCCACTGGTCTGATAACTTCCCCTAACCACATTTTTAGCTATATGGGTAACACTAATGTGAATAGAATGCAGATGAGTATAGAGTCCTTTGTTCCTCAGCTAACATTTTACAAGTTTCAAACAGACGGATAAGAACAACAAAACACCACATGTTTCAGGAAGCTTGTTGGTTGACTGTGGTCTGCTGGTTCCCCTGTGGGATGTGTCACCCTAATAACCTTGGCACTGAATTGCCCGGCTCCTTTAGCACAAATACAGTGTATGTACATGCATTGTACTTAAACAGCCCTTAACCAGCATGTCCAAAGCAAGCAGATGACACATTGCAGATGTCACCAGCAGCATTCTGGGAAACAGCTCTATGTTCTCTCTGTCGCGGCTGCCTTGCGGGTCGGTTGTTGCGTTTCAAGTTCAGTGTGTCGGTAGGCCCGTGAGCATGTGGGCTGCACTGCTTCCAGGATCAACTGAATCTCAAATGGTTTACGACACTCGTGTCCCGGTTATGTTTTCGAGAGGCTATTGCGAGCAGCAGGTCAGGCCAGGCAGGATCATGCCTTGTCAGCCTAATGCTATGTCCGCTCCAAGGCGAACACACACGTTGGCATGGCTGTGAGAGCCACTATGTGGCCTAATGTTGAAAGACTGGCCATTGACCAGGCGTTGAACCTGAAGGAAGGCGTGCTGTAAGTAGCTTATTTGCACTACATTGTTTACTGGGCTAATGATATTACTGTGTGACTTGGCATAGCTCCATTCTTGTTTAACCTTCATCTCGGTAGCTGGGGCATGACTATTCAAAGTGACAAGATGACGAAAGGTTTGGGCTTTACAGCACGTAATATGTATGCACAGTCGGCTGTAATGTCTTAGTTTGGTGGACTTTGGAATTTGTGACCTGATTTCTCTAAGACCTGGACAATGTTCTCTTTGGTAATGTTTTATACATTGATACTGTGAACTGTAAATGATCAATAATTACTTTGTTTTCCTAACTCCAATAAATGTGTTGAGGGGATATATTAAATGTACATCTGGTAATGTACAGACAATTAGAACAAGGGTGTTGAGAAAAGTTAATGGATAAGCTTTGTTGACATATTTATAAGATGGTGGGGTCAACTACTGCCCTGGAAATAGGTGAAGCCGGATGTTTACTATTGCCAGAAATATAATTGACTGACTAGGAAGATCCAAACACCCCTTTTTCCATAAAGCTGATACAGTATTGCACAATAGGTCCTTGAGAGTAGAATGTTTATCCTGGATGTTCATTTTGTTTTCAGTTAAAATTATTATTTTGTTGTCTCAAGTCTCCTTTCACTCTTTGTTTTACAGATCAGACCTAATTGACATCCAATGGTAAGAGCTGCCTGGTTAGATCTTCGCTATGGATGAACCTTGGAAAGGGCCGATCAATTCCATTTGACTGCTCTATAACGTCAGGGCAATGTGGAGCGCCCCCAGAGACAACCGGGGCCCACAGCCCCTCCCATCCCTGTACTGAATCCCCAGTGCAGAATGATCCAGGCTGGAGAATGCCTAACACCCCTACTTCAGGAGTCAAACGGCTATGCATAAGAACAATCAGACTAACAATCTGTTTAGAAATGATATTCTCCGGATTCAAAACACTTCCTAGCCAGTGATAAAAAAAAAAAAAACATTTTGACATTTAAGACCATTCCAAGTGGTGGACAAGGTAAAATCACCTTCCTATCGAGCTGTGGAGAGGTGGCAGTAGTCACCCATGTGTAGCAGGAAAATAGCTGCTGCTAGTGGAATAACGTAGCCTCAGATTGTCGGGGGTTCGTGTCTTGACGGGGCGAGGGATCCCACCAGTCTGCCTCACCGAGTGACTCCGCTCCCGTCCAAAGGCAGACCCTCTATCAAATGGCATGGGTCAAGTTCTTCAGGAAGCCGGGGGGCAATCTCGCCAAATCCTACCAGCCGGGGAGCATGCTGTCTCTGGCCCCCACCAAAGGCCTGCTGAACGAGCCGGGGCAGAACAGCTGCTTTCTCAACAGTGCGGTGCAGGTGAGTCCTATCTTACCAATAAATAGTAAATTATTACTGCATGTTTTCTTCATATGCAGCAGAGGTAATGGCCATAAACAGATAATTGCAATAAATGCTTTGTTTTTGAATGGCTATGTATCCAGAACAATGGGATGGAAGTAGAGACAGTTAATCTCTGATTAGGGACATGAGTAAAAGCTTAATGTGAATTGCAACAATGCCAAATCCCTTTATTGCAATACCTGGTAAGCCGAGTCGATGCAAAACATGTTCTCATTTCTAGTAGACTACATCACTCATGTTAGCGTTGCTTAGTTATACGAAAGGTCTCGACAGCACCACCGGCATTACTTTACAGCCTCAAAGCCCATAGCTTAGTCACTGTAAATTCGTCAGTACGTCCCAGCAAGTAACTGGAAGGTTGTTTTTGTCTCGTGGGATGGCAGTTGGCGAGAGGGTTGGCGGGTGCAATTATCCCGCAGTGAGGTCACTTTTCCAGGCCGTGACTCAGAGGGCGAGACGTGGCTGAGCTGGGTGAAGATCTCGGACACCCAGGGCTTTGTTTCCAAGGAGCCCTCCTCTCCCTCTTTCTTTCCCCCTCCCTCCCTCCTTCCTCTGCCCTCCTCATGGCCTGACTCAACCAGAGACCCCCTTTAACTCTAAGCACCAAGGAAGGACATCACTAGCCCTAAATCCCCGGTTGAGAATGTTTGAGGACAGGTCGCAACGTGAAGTAAGCTGGAGAAAGCTTGATTTCCACCCATAATTATTAACTGGCCCTCAAGTGTCACATTTAGAACTGAATGAGTGTTTTCTAAAACAAATCCCATAAAAACCTGTCTTTCATCAAAGGTTATTGGGAAGTATTAGCTGGCCAAGTCTGGGTTATAATGAGAGTTTGGTGTGGAAAATGAGGAATTTAATGAACATGACAATACTTTCTCAATAATATGTTTTCTTCAATCCCCTGTTCAGGTGCTGTGGCAGCTGGACATCTTCAGACGCAGTCTGAGGCAGCTTCCTGGACACTTCTGTCTCGGAGACTCTTGCATCTTCTGTGCGTTGAAGGTATGCACCCTTCATCAAGTCTTAGTTGTTGCAAGCAATCACTATATATATATATATATATGTATGTATGTATGTATATGTATATGTATATGTATATATATGTATATGTTACTTTTGTAGGGATTTATCGTTGCTGACACGTAGTTGTCCCTTGAGAACTGCTGTTAATAATTCATTTTAAATGTTTTCATTTTCAGGTGCTTGAAAGTCAGTTAGGTTTGTTCGGAAACCTTTAATTAAATGAATGGTCTGGTCAATTCCCAACTTCTTTCCTGTTCCGCAGGGCATCTTCTCCCAGTTCCAGCACAGTCGGGAGCGCGCCTTGCCCTCGGACAACCTGCGTCATGCCCTGGCAGAGACCTTTAAAGACGAGCACCGCTTTCAGCTCGGCTTCATGGACGATGCTGCCGAGTGCTTTGTAAGTTTCCCGTGGTGACTGACCAGACTTTCCGGCGGAACCCAGGTATCCAGGGGGGCCTCTGAGCAGAGGCGACTGGGGCCTCCCCAGGGATAGACTGGAGTGTGTTGGGGACACATGAGGGCATACGTGCTATAACAAACATTTCAGCGATGGTATTAAGAGATAGATGGGAGGGGTTGAATGGAGGTGGGACTAATAACTAATAACAACAAGATAACTAATGTAAAACATACTGTGTCCTTAAAACGTATATAGGTTAAGAACTTTTGTGAAAGAGCACAGTTTGAAAGATATGGCAAATAGAAATCAAACTGGATGGACATCAGAAATAGATGGGAGAGGTTGAGGGTAGAGGAAGGACATGAGTAAAAAAGTGTCCATAAAATGTATATAATATGTACAGTGGGGAGAACAAGTATTTGATACACTGCCGATTTTGCAGGTTTTCCTACTTACAACGCATGTAGAGGTCTGTCATTTTTATAATAGGTACACTTCAACTGTGAGAGACGGAATCTAAAACAAAAATCCAGAAAATCACATTGTATGATTTTTAAGTAATTCATTTGCATTTTATTGCATGACATAATTATTTGATACATCAGAAAAGCAGAACTTAATATTTGGTACAGAAACCTTTGTTTGCAATTACAGAGATCATACTTTTCCTGTAGGTCTTGACCAGGTTTGCACACACTGCAGCAGGGATTTTGGCCCACTCCTCCATACAGACCTTCTCCAGATCCTTCAGGTTTCGGGGCTGTCGCTGGGCAATACGGACTTTCAGCTCCCTCCAAAGATGTTCTATTGGGTTCAGGTCTGGAGACTGGCTAGGCCACTCCAGGACCTTGAGATGCTTCTTACGGAGCCACTCCTTAGTTGCCCTGGCTGTGTGTTTCGGGTCGTTGTCATGCTGGAAGACCCAGCCACGACCCATCTTCAATGCTCTTACTGAGGGAAGGAGGTTGTTGGCCAAGATCTCGCGATACATGGCCCCATCCATCCTCCCCTCAATACGGTGCAGTCGTCTTGTCCCCTTTGCAGAAAAGCATCCCCAAAGAATGAAGTTTCCACCTCCATGCTTCACGGTTGGGATGGTGTTCTTGGGGTTGTACTCATCCTTCTTCTTCCTCCAAACACGGTGAGTGGAGTTTAGACCAAAAAGCTCTATTTCTGTCTCATCAGACCACATGACAGACTCCCATTCCTCCTCTGGATCATCCAGATGGTCATTGGCAAACTTCAGACGGGCCTGGACATGTGCTGGCTTGAGCAGGGGGACCTTGCGTGCGCTGCAGGATTTTAAACCATGACGGCGTAGTGTGTTACTAATGGTTTTATTTGAGACTGTGGTCCCAGCTCTCTTCAGGTCATTGACCAGGTCCTGCCGTGTAGTTCTGGGCTGATCCCTCACCTTCCTCATGATCATTGATGCCCCACGAGGTGAGATCTTGCATGGAGCCCCAGACCGAGGGTGATTGACCGTCATCTTGAACTTCTTCCATTTTCTAATAATTGTGCCAACAGTTGTTGCCTTCTCACCAAGCTGCTTGCCTATTGTCCTGTAGCCCATCCCAGCCTTGTGCAGGTCTACAATTTTATCCCTGATGTCCTTACACAGCTCTCTGGTCTTGGCCATTGTGGAGAGGTTGGAGTCTGTTTGATTGAGTGTGTGGACAGGTGTCTTTTATACAGGTAACGAGTTCAAACAGGTGCAGTTAATACAGGTAATGAGTGGAGAACAGGAGGGCTTCTTAAAGAAAAACTAACAGGTCTGTGAGAGCCGGAATTCTTACTGGTTGGCAATAAAATGCAAATGAATTACTTAAAAATCATACAATGTGATTTTCTGGATTTTTGTTTTAGATTCCGTCTCTCACAGTTGAAGTGTACCTATGATAAAAATTACAGACCTCTATATACTTTGTAAGTAGGAAAACCTGCAAAATCGGCAGTGTATCAAATACTTGTTCTCCCCACTGTACATACATACATACATACATACAGTGAGGGGGAAAAAAGTATTTGATCCCCTGCTGATTTTGTACCACGGGGGGCCAGTATGAAAAATAAAAAAAATAATGTATGCAAGTAAGTCGCTCTGGATAAGAGCGTCTGCTAAATGACTAAAATGTAATGTAAATGTAATTGGAACACAGAACTGATGGTTGCTGATAATGGGCCTCTGTACGCCTATGTAGATATTCCATTACAAATCAGCCATTTACAACATTAACAATGTCTACACTGTATTTCTGATCAATTTGATGTTATTTTAATTGACAAAAAAAATGTTTTTCCTTCGAAAACAGGGACATTTCTAAGTGACCCCAATCTTTTGAACGGTAGTGTATATATTAGCAAAACAATATATGGGGGATTGGAAGTGATGCAGACAATTACATTGATGGAAGCTACAATCTCTCTGCAATATTAAAACTGATCTACTCCCTAAATGGAAAAAATGAAATATTAATAATAAATAAGATTTCATCGAGGTCACCGTCTGATAGAGCCCTGTCCCCTCTCCCACCAACCCCCTTGACACAACCTATAATATATAATGGTGGCGGGTTACATAAGCAGAAGCACCATCTTTGGGCCTTTATGGTTTCCCCACTGTGTGCAGCATCACTCCGAGTCGTTTAAAGATGTCTCTATGAACCCTCTGAATGAGTCATTATAACCATAGCTGTTCAGTCCACTTGTGCTTAGTTTGGCTAACTTCCACTGTAGTAGTAATGCTTTCTTACCCTGTTCTTTTTAACATTCATTTTAGACCCAACAGAGAAAAGGTTATTACAAGCTGGGACCAGGAATGTTCAGATGCTTCAACACCAACTAAGAAACATTCAGGATTTAGGAATATTACTGTACATTACGTATAGTTTTAGACTTCATCTTAGCTCATGATTTAGTTCCTCTTTAGACATAGGGCTTAGGGGACGGTACACTACAGTACATTGTGTTCTCTGTCTGCCAGTATTGGGTTTTCGCTGTAGCGAAATTGCTGTAAACCTACTCAGCACAAACGTACACCCATTTTCTGTTCAGCGCAGCAGCTCTCGAGTGGGGAGGTCATTCACTCAGGAGGGCTCATTCTACAGTGGAGGATAAACGGACGAGAAAATGAAGTCTCTCTTTCACTGTAGAACAGGAGGTGATGACAAAACGAGAGGCCAAACCAATGAAACAATAAGCCCACTCTCCGAGCTCCCCGGCAACACAGGGAACTACTCACATTTGCCGTTTATGTCAAATTTACCTCAGATTCCTGTGGTTTCAGTCTCCTACTGGAGTTTGTTTTGAATAAACAATGATTTTGAAAGAACCACAATCCAATCAAATCCAAGGTGGTGGTCAAAAGGTCAGGTGCCAGACAAAACAAAAAACTAAATGTTTGTTCTATAACCAATGTCCCATTTTCAGTGTGGCAACAACCCCGTTTCAATTACATAGCTAGAATAAAAATATAAAGTGATATCACAGGTTTTTTTTCCTAATGTATTTTTAAGTGCAATTTGGTCAGGAATGTCATGTGAACCATTCTAACATTATTTTTTATTTTTTTTAGGGGGTAGATCAGCTTTAATATTGCAGATAGATTGTAACTTCCATCAATGTAATTGTCTGCATCACTTCCAATCCCCCATATGTTTTTTTCCCTCGCAAATATATACATACATACATACATACATACATACATACATACATACATACATACATACATACATACATACATACATACATACATACATACATACATACATACATACATACATACATACATACATACATACATACATACATACATACATACATACATACAGTGAGGGGAAAAAAGTATTTGATCCCCTGCTGATTTTGTACAGTGGGGAAAAAAAGTATTTAGTCAGCCACCAATTGTGCAAGTTCTCCCACTTAAAAAGATGAGAGAGGCCTGTAATTTTCATCATAGGTACACGTCAACTATGACAGACAAAATGAGGAAAAAAAATCCAGAAAATCACATTGTAGGATTTTTAATGAATTTATTTGCAAATTATGGTGGAAAATAAGTATTTGGTCAATAACAAAAGTTTCTCAATAATTTGTTATATACCCTTTGTTGGCAATGACACAGGTCAAACGTTTTCTGTAAGTCTTCACAAGGTTTTCACACACTGTTGCTGGTATTTTGGCCCAGTCCTCCATGCAGATCTCCTCTAGAGCAGTGATGTTTTGGGGCTGTCGCTGGGCAACACGGACTTTCAACTCCCTCCAAAGATTTTCTATGGGGTTGAGATCTGGAGACTCCAGGACCTTGAAATGCTTCTTACGAAGCCACTCCTTCGTTGCCCGGGCGGTGTGTTTGGGATCATTGTCATGCTGAAAGACCCAGCCACGTTTCATCTTCAATGCCCTTGCTGATGGAAGGAGGTTTTCACTCAAAATCTCACGATACATGGCCCCATTCATTCTTTCCTTTACACGGATCAGTCGTCCTGGTCCCTTTGCAGAAAAACAGCCCCAAAGTATGATGTTTTCACTCCCATGCTTCACAGTAGGTATGGTGTTCTTTGGATGCAACTCAGCATTCTTTGTCCTCCAAACACGACGAGTTGAGTTTTTACCAAAAAGTTATATTTTGGTTTCATCTGACCATATGACATTCTCCCAATCCTCTTCTGGATGCACTCTAGCAAACTTCAGACGGGCCTGGACATGTACTGGCTTAAGCAGGGGGACACGTCTAGCACTGCAGGATTTGAGTCCCTGGCGGCGTAGTGTGTTACTGATGGTAGGCTTTGTTACTTTGGTCCCAGCTCTCTGCAGGTCATTCACTAGGTCCCCCCGTGTGGTTCTGGGATTTTTGCTCACCGTTCTTGTGATCATTTTGACCCCACGGGGTGAGATCTTGCGTGGAGCCCCAGATCGAGGGAGATTATCAGTGGTCTTGTATGTCTTCCATTTCCTAATAATTGCTCCCACAGTTGATTTCTTCAAACCAAGCTGCTTACCTATTGCAGATTCAGTCTTCCCAGCCTGGTGCAGTTCTACAATTTTGTTTCTGTTGTCCTTTGACAGCTCTTTGGTCTTGGCCATAGTGGAGTTTGGAGTGTGACTGTTTGAGGTTGTGGACAGGTGTCTTTTATACTGATAACAAGTTCAAACAGGTGCCATTAATACAGGTAACGAGTGGAGGACAGAGGAGCCTCTTAAAGAAGAAGTTACAGGTCTGTGAGAGCCAGAAATCTTGCTTGTTTGTAGGTGACCAAATACTTATTTTCCACCATAATTTGCAAATAAATTCATAAAAAATCCTACAATGTGATTTTCTGGATTTTTTTCCCTCAATTTGTCTGTCAAAGTTGACGTGTACCTATGATGAAAATTACAGGCCTCTCTCATCTTTTTAAGTGGGAGAACTTGCACAATTGGTGGCTGACTAAATACTTTTTTCCCCCACTGTACGTTTGCCCACTGACAAAGACATGATCAGTCTATAATTTTAATGGTAGGTTTTATTTGAACAGTGAGAGACAGAATAACAACAAAAAAAAACAGAAAAACGCATGTCAAAAATGTTATAAATTGATTTGCATTTTAATGAGGGAAATACGTTTTTCACCCCTCTGCAAAACATGACTTAGTACTTGATGACAAAACCCTTGTTGGCAATCACAGAGGTCAGACGTTTCTTGTAGTTGGCCACCAGGTTTGCACACATCTCAGGAGGGATTTTGTCCCACTCCTCTTTGCAGATCTTCTCCAAGTCATTAAGGTTTCGAGGCTGACGTTTGGCAACTCGAACCTTCAGCTCCCTCCACAGATTTTCTATGGGATTAAGGTCTGGAGACTGGCTAGGCCACTCCAGGACCTTAATGTGCTTCTTCTTGAGCCACTCCTTTGTTGCCTTGGCCGTGTGTTTTGGGTCATTGTCATGCTGGAATACCCATCCACGACCCATTTTCAATGCCCTGGCTGAGGGAAGGAGGTTCTCACCCAAGATTTGACGGTACATGGCCCCGTCCATCGTCCCTTTGATGCGGTGAAGTTGTCCTGTCCCCTTAGCAGAAAAACACCCCCAAAGCATAATGTTTCCACCTCCTCCATGTTTGACGGTGTGGATGGTGTTCTTGGGGTCATAGGCAGCATTCCTCCTCCTCCAAACACGGCTCGATTTTGGTCTCATCTGACCACAACACTTTCACCCAGTTCTCCTCTGAATCATTCAGATGTTCATTGGCAAACATCAGACAGGCCTGTATATGTGCTTTCTTGAGCAGGGGGACCTTGCGGGCGCTGCAGGATTTCAGTCCTTCATGGCGTAGTGTGTTACCAATTGTTTTCTTGGTGACTATGGTCCCAGCTGCCTTGAGATCATTGACAAGATCCTCCCGTGTAGTTCTGGGCTGATTCCTCACCGTTCTCATGATCATTGCAACTCCACGAGGTGAGATCTTGCATGGAGCCCCAGGCCGAGGGAGATTGACATTTCTTTTGTGTTTCTTCCATTTGCGAATAATCGCACCAACTGTTGTCACCTTCTCACCAAGCTGCTTGGCGATGGTCTTGTAGCCCATTCCAGCCTTGTGTAGGTCTACAATCTTGTCCCTGACATCCTTGGAGAGCTCTTTGGTCTTGGCCATGGTGGAGAGTTTGGAATCTTGATTGATTTATTTTGATTGATTGCTTCTGTGGACAGGTGGCTTTTATACAGGTAACAAGCTGAGATTAGGAGCACTCCCTTTAAGAGTGTGCTCCTAATCTCAGCTCGTTACCTGTATAAAAGACACCTGGGAGCCAGAAATCTTTCTGATTGAGAGGGGGTCAAATACTTATTTCCCTCATTAAAATGCAAATCAATGTATAACATTTTTGACATATTTTTTTGTTGTTATTCTGTCTCTCACTGTTCAAATAAACCTACCATTAAAATTATAGACTGATCATTTCTTTGTCAGTGGGCAAATGTACAAAATCAGCAGGGGATCAAATACTTTTTTCCCTCACTGTACATACATACATACATACATACATACACACATCCTTTAAAAATATATATTTCCCTTTATGATCTTCCAACCCCACCACCCCTTCCCTAATTGGAGTAAACTAGTGAACAACAATGCTTAGGCCTCTCCTTCCAGCTTATACATACTATATACATTTTATGGACACAGTCAATTTGACAATGATTCTATTTTGTTTGTTTTTACTCCTGAACTTCCTCTACCCTCAACTTCTCCGATCATTTTCATGATGTCTATCCGATTTGCTTCTATATGCCATACCATATCTTTCTAACTGTGCTCTTTCACAAAAGCTCTCAACCTATAACCTATATACTTATTATGATTATTATGGACACAGTATGCTTACATTATTAGTTATCTTGTTGTTATTGGTTGTCATTCTAACATTGTTACAACTGATTTAATTCTGTGTTTAATTCTCAGTGGGCGTTACATGTACGTTTCGCTGTGTGCATGTTCATATTTGGCAAGGCCATATAGGTATTCTCTCTTTATCCTAATAATCCCCTAATAACCATGTGAATCTTAGGTTCACGTGCGTAAATTCAAGACAGAATCAAGGCCCTGTAATTTATGAGCAGAATTAGCCAGTGTCAGATTAAATGGCTGTGAAATTAGGAAGGTCTAAAAGCAGCCTGACTGTTTCATAAACCCAGTGGGATTCTGTATCAACATGAGTGAGTTTCTAGTGGAGGCCGCTTGCACTCAGACTGGTTCCTTAACTACAGTAGTGAGGCACTGCATAACTCCCTAGCTGTTAAACGTCACAAAACAATACAGGTTTATACAGATGAATCAGGGGGAAGTATTGATTTACCAGACATGATTTTTCTCTTTACTGGTACATTAAGGAGATAAGTGTATAGCTGAGGGTGAGTTGAGGGTAATACATGCTGAGGAAAAATAATTGGCTGATGATTGCTAATATTTCAATAGAGTGGGACGATTACCAAAGTTTCAATTTGGAATTGTGAATATTCCTATGGTGTTTCGGTGAAAACTGTTACCTGTATGTTTTGACCCATTTCTTATCGGCATGCTATATTTCCACAGGAGAATATTCTGGAGCGGATCCACCTGCACATTGTGCCTGAGGAGACCGATGCCTGCACCTCCAAGTCCTGCATCACACACCAGAAGTTTGCCATGACACTCTATGAACAGGTTAAAGGAAACTCCTAGCATCTGGTAGCACACACAGACACAGACAGACAGACAGGTCCAAATCCAGTTGCAGGCACAGGGATTACACACACACACCCCATCCGGGGGTACAGCAGCAGCCACATGGATCACTGTCTGAGATAGGAGCTACCCAATCCGTCCCATCTCCAGAGTGGGGCTGCTACTCTGGAATACAGAGGGGGGTTTTCCTCAGATCCCTCCCTCCCTGCCCTGCCGGTATGATGTTCATCTCCCTAAACCCCAGAGCAGTCTTGTCGTCAACGTATCAGACAGCTTTGATGCAGGGTTTGATGGTGATGCAGAGGTGGCCAACTCTCCTCCCTGAGAGCAAGAAGGTATGCAGGCCCTTCTTCCAGCTTGCTTTTACACACCTGATTCAGTTAATCAGCTGCTCAACAGGACCTTAATTAGTGGAATTGGGTGTCGTGTGGCGTTGGGACCGCTGGGGTCAGAACATGTCGTGGTCGAGTGCGCTGTAGCGGAACAGTTTGCTGTGCTACGGGTACAGTAGGGTTGGAACAAAAGCCTGTACACCCAGTAGCTCTCCAGCAGGAGGGTTGCTTTGATGTTTCGGTAGAGGCCCTATAGTGTAAAAGCCAGCAGTGCTGTGGACCAGAGTTGAGAAAGGAGGCAATAGATTAAGTCTGAAGACCGGACACGAACCAAAACCCACCCCACCTGCCACTTTTCCTCTCAACTGACAAACACTCCACTCTCTCCCATCACAGTTCACACAAACACCCCAAAGTAGTAATTTCCCCATAACTGCCCCCAAACTACTACACCTCGCGAAATGACACGCTGACTTGATAATTAGTGCTTGGCTGTGGCTAAGCGGCGCCTAGCTAACGGCCATGTGTCTGTGTTGTGTTCCTGTTCCCCTCTCCCCTGCAGTCTGTGTGCCGTAGCTGTGGGGCATCCTCCGACCCCCTGCCCTTCACTGAGCTAGTGCATTATGTCTCCACCACTGCCCTCTGGTAAGCCATGCTTATTGACGTCACACAAAACACAAATTTCTCTATGTTTCTCTTAGGGTTACTGAGTGACTTTTGTAGCTTTGTCTCTCTCTGTAAACACCTTCTCTCACACTCTTTCTGGTTCTCTCACACTCTTTCTGGTTCTCTCACACTCTTTCTGGTTCTCTCACACACTTTCTGGTTCTCTCACACTCTTTCTGGTTCTCTCACACTCTTTCTGGTTCTCTCACACTCTTTCTGGTTCTCTCAGTCAACAGGTGTATCAGAGGCGGGACGAGTCATTTGGAGAGCTCCTGCAAGCTGCCAGCACCGTAGGGGATTCCCGCAACTGTCCGGTAAGTGTCTGTCCTTTCAAGCATTAAGAAAATCATACATTGATGTCAATGGCAGTTTTGTGCAAAAACTAGCGCACACATATCTCAAGTCAGGATGCACCTCCATTCTCATCACACTAAACAACTATTAGGAGGGGAAAGTCAGAAAGTCACTAGCAGGACAACAGCAGAAACCCCCCCCACTGTGAAGTTGTATTAAGGGTTCTTGTTAGTTAGTTAGTTGTCTGGTTACTTTGCTTAGCTAGTTAGTTAGCTAATAGAGCTGGGACGACAGCAGTATCGCAATATTTTTACCATGGCAAAAATGAAAACACGAAGCCAATCAAACTCTTTTGGTCCTTTAAAAACCTGCTGTATGTAAAATATTGTGTGCTATAACTTGGAAAATAAATAAATGTGACTGGATGACAACATAATGATGTCTGTTTCCAACATTAGGGCTGTTTTCCTAAATAAGTGAAATCCACTTCGTGTTTTGTTTCCTTGCCACGATACAAACGAGGATTGCGATACTGGGATCGTCCCGGCCCTGTTAGCTAAGCTGGTTAGTTAGCTCTGCTCCTCGAGTTAACTGTCTTCTCCCTCTCTCGCTGTCACCAGAGTAACTGTGGCCAGAGGATCAAGATCCGCCGGGTCCTCATGAACTCCCCGGAGATCGTCACCATCGGCTTCGTGTGGGACTCAGACCAGTCAGACCTCACAGAGGACGTCATTCGCTCGCTGGGGCCACACCTCAACCTCTCTGGGGTAAGGACGGCAAGCCAGCAGGGACAAAAAGCACAACAGATGGATTATATTACTACGAAGCTCAGTTCAATAGTGTAGCGCAGTCTTTCCCAATCTTGGTCCTGGAGACCCCAAGGGGTGCACGTTTTGATTTTTGCCCCAGCACTACACAGCTGATTCAACGTTTTTATTATTTGAATCAGCTGTGTAGTGCTAGGGCAAAAACCAAAATGTGCACCCCTTGGGGTCCCCAGGACCGAGTTTGGGAAACACTGGTGTAGCGCTTTGTCAAAGTCAGTCTGCTCTTGTGTTTCGTTTAATGAAAGTGATGGGTTGTAGATAAAGTAAAGAAGGTTCAAACAGTGGAGAAGAATCTATAGAATTCAGAATAGGAAAGTGTCATGAAAACAGTTGAATCTTTGATCGGGGAAAGGCAAAGACCTGTGAAGAAAGTTAGAGATGGCCAAGAACCTCCACATAAGTTTAAAACACGTCTAATTCTCGATTGTCAGCCCGTAATAAAACAGATTAGTCAAGTAGTCTGATTTTAAAATCGCCAAGGCAGTGATTGCACCTAAACAAAATGGCCGCCTCACCTCCCCAAATGCGAACCCTGGAAATAGGAAAACAACAATAATACACCATTTTCAATTGGTCGAACTCCTAAAATATGGTTAGAATCACTGCATTCTGGTTTTACTCTATTTGCTTTCTGTCTTTTTTGTTTGTTTGTTTGTTGGAGCCTCCACAGCTGGTGTTCCTTGCCCTGGTTGTGTTGGGGTCAGTTTATTTTGGTGCCATGGAGCATATGGGGGAAATAAAGTGGGCTTTATCCCTGCGTAAGTCGGAGCGTTGCGTAAGCAGTGCATGGTGCAATGCCCAGTTGGCCCACGCTGCTGATCAAAAAGCCCCTGCTGCAGGGCCAGATCGTGTCAACGCCCCCTCAGTGCCACGATGGAAGAGTACGATGTTTATGTGCGATTGTGTGAGAGAGAGGGTGGGTCATAGAAAGGTTACATGTGAGTGTGTGTGTGTATATTTGTGTAAGAGAATGGTGGGTGTGTGGAAGGTGTGGTCTGTGTATGAGTTGGGACTGTATGTTGGAGTACAGAGTGTCCTTGGCATTTGTAACACTCAACTCTGGCTGACACTGTCCATGTTCCTTCAAGAAGAAAAGGAATGAGCTTCACTGAAACCTGCTACAAATCTAGAACAAACTGTCACAGACCAGGCCCAACATATTACACAACACCATCTCCCTTGAAGACTACAGGCACAGATTCCTCTTTTCCCCTCGTTTTGAGCGCATTCCAGAACTGGATTAGTCTAGCTAGTTTAGCAGAACCCCCACCAAGTACCACAAAGGGCTTGATTCATACTCGTACTGTTCATGTGACTGTGCTGGGTGTCGGAGAAAACCTCCCCCCTGCCTAGGAATCCATTGTCTCCCATGGCCAAAGAGAACCGGCCATTCAGGAAAAACAAGAGGCTATTTCACAACCTCCTCATCCAGCGGTCTATTCAAACTGGTGGGAGGATGAAATTATACTGACGTTCGCCTGAACTACCACGCTGGAAGCTGCTAGAGATGCAAGCGAGGCCAGTATCAATCCAAGTTGAAGGGCAATTTGACTGTCCAAATGCTAATGCGTGTGGATGACAAACATGAATGTTTTGGTTAAATGGCTGTATATCTGACTGAGAAGGTTCTGCTGTGTGATAAAAGACTGTGTTAATCCATTGAGCTAAAGTCTACGCATTAGTTTGGGGAGCCAACCTAAGTCTTTAGGTCTTAGGGCAGGGTGGGAGTGTTTTGGGCTAAATTTAACCAAATAAAGTAATTGAAATGTGTGTGTGTCCGCAGCTCTTCTACCGGGTGACAGACGAGCACGCCAAAAAGGGAGAGCTTCTATTGGTTGGGATGATCTGTTACTCCAGCCGCCACTACTGTGCCTTCGCCTTCCATACCAAATCCGCCAAATGGGTGTTCTTCGACGACGCCACGGTCAAAGAGGTGGGGGTTAGGGATAGATATAGAAAAAGACATAAGCAAACAGTCCTCTAGTAAGGGAGCAAAAACACCACACCTCACCCAACACTCTCATAGCATCTCACTCTTTTGCTGTGGTGACATATGCTGCTCGGACCATACACATATACATGCATGGACAGGCGCACGCCACACACACTCTCCCCTGTCTCGTTTGCTATAGTGATCCACACACACACACACACACACACTCTATGACACTGTGACAAGAAAAAGGAATTCACCACATCAAATCAAATTGTATTTGTCACATACACGTGTTTATCAGATGTTATAGCGGGTGTAGCGAAATGCTTGTGCTTCTAGCTCCGACGGTGCAGTAATATCTAACAATTTCACAACATATACCCAATACACACAAAACTAGTAAGGAATGGGATTTAAGAATATATACATATATGGACAAGCAATGACAGAGCGGCATGGACTAAGATACAGTAGAGTTTTATAGAATAGTAACTAAAGTAACATTTTGTTGGTAACTTTCTTTAAAGGGCTTCAACCAGTTGATTTGAAATAAAATCAGGAATACAATCTGACATGAGAGGATTTTCCAGGAAGCTGATGTATGATATCATGGGATACAAATCATCTGTTATCTGGAGCTAAAGCCTCCCTAGCCAGCAACTGAAAATGCAGAAATGTACTTGGTTGAGCTGATGAAAAGGAGAATGAGAGCAGGGAGCTCCCTGAGCCATGTCTTAACTCCATCGCCACCATCTTCCTATAAGGGCCACATCGATCACCATTCACCACCCCCGGGTTGATGAGCCTTCAGTGGGGTTGAAAAGTCTGCAATAATCACCAACACCCACACATGTTCGCAAGCGTGGGGACACACACACACCCACACACACACAGCAGCACTTGTACTAGGTTTTCCCAGTGGAAACTATTGAAGCACCTTCAGTCTTTCCCCAGTTAATTGCATCATCAGTCATCCACAGTTGAGCTACACTGTTTAGTGGACTTCCACATTTCAGGATATCAAATTGAAATAAAAATGTGTATTTTGTGTATGTGTTTAATGAGCAACACTGGGTGTGTGTGTCCAGTCCATTTGACTGGTCTGCGGTGCAGGAGCTGGCTGGCTCGGAGTCAATCCAGCAGCAGTTTGTGCTGTGTATGCACTTCAGCCCGACTGGGACAGAGCACTACAGTACAGCACCCGAGCCAACCAAATAACACGCCATACACCTGCTGTGTTGCTACTCATTCTCTTATGGACTCACACCAAGTAATGAGGAGAAATACCCTACAGATTATGGATAGCTTTTAAACCATATTTATATTTGACATTTATGGTTGCGGTTTGTTGACTATCATTCTTGTCATAATTGCTTGTATCATTTATTGCAGCACCAGTGGTTCAGCGGTTCCCCTAAGCCTATTTTGTTGTTGTTGTCCCAGGCGGGGATCAGTGCCCCCCCCCCCCCCCCCCCCCCCCCATTTTACTGTCACATTCCTTTCTTACTCTTTCTCTTTCCTGTCTCTCTCTTTCCTGTCGCTCTCTTTCTGCTCCTCTTTCCTTCTCCTTCATTTGGTTAATTAAGGAGCACACTAGCATCTGTTAGCCTCCAGTCTGCCTCTGTGGCGTTTTGTAGTGAGGCACGTGCCTAACTCTGCTCAGCTAATGTGATTGTGAGTGCTTTAGCACATAATATTCACTTAAGAACAAAGGGACAATGTGCTTTCACAATGCACAGCAATGTCTCCTTGGACATAGTTTTGTGTGGAATTCTAAAATGAAAATTCCTCTCTGAACAGTTCGTGACATGCCTGAATACGATTTTTCTGGTCTATGGTCACCATACATTTTGAGGGTAATGGTTCAAAGAATGTCCCTGAATTCAAGCAAGCGTTGTGTCAACATTTTTCCTCCATGGTTTTTGTTATTTGTGCGCTATCCATTTAAATGAGGCATAATATAGTGGATATACTCTGAGAAGACTATTCCTTAGAGCCCAAGCCCTTTAAATGGATGAACCAATTCAATTACAAGTCAGCATTTTCTGAAAGATGTACTCAAAGGTACCTAACATTTACATATTTAGGTTTTGGCAACTGATGCTCATCAAATAAATACAGGCTTTTCGAAAGTAGTAAGGTGTATTGACTGGCACTAAACGACACATTTGGCTTCTGACAAGACCTCTCTGTCTAATGAGATGAGGAAATTGGTCAGTGCCAGTAAGACATAGGTGACATTTTATTTTCTTGTCACATTGGGAAGATGCCAGTTTTGCCTTTCTGCCTCTCAAGCAGGAGCACACACGCGCACACACACTCTTCATGTGTCTCTCTATTGACCTCCTAGTCTCCTCTCCCCTATCTTAGATTGGGACCCGGTGGAAAGACGTGGTCACCAAATGCATCAAGGGCCACTTCCAGCCCCTCCTCCTATTCTACTCCAACCCAGATGGCAGCGCCATCTCCGTAGACGACGCCTCGCGCCAGAACAGTGACCGCTCCAACTACAAGTCCCCCGTCAACGGAGACGTCCAAGGTATACAAGACATCGGACAAAGGGACATTCTCTTTTCTTTCCTCTATAGGAAGAACTACACCACTACCCCTAGAGTCATGGAACTTTTACAGCACATTGAGGGAAATAACTGCCTACATTTGCATATCAAATCTATGCAAAAATATAGGTTTTTCCAGGATGCCAACAATATGAAGTCAAATGTACAATCACTTTTCATGGTGTTATCATCCCAAGATGTGACTTCAGGTGTTTTGCGATGGCGATGCAGTCTCTATCTCATGATCTCTTACTTGAGACCAAATGTGGTCTTGGTTTAGGTCTTTTGGAGACCAGATTCAAACGGCCCCCCTTTCCAAAATGGTTGAACAACCCCTTAGCTTCACTCGAGATGATTTCCAGGAACCACACACCACGTTTATAATTCATAGTTCCTTTTAATTCATGCTTAACATGGGGGATGCTATATTTAAGTCGGTGCAGTAAATTCACAGCGAGAGGGGGTCCTAAAATAAGTGATTCTAAGAGTAGAGCTCTCTGGCACCAGCAATTTGGAATTAATGCCAGCAAGTGTTGCCAATGGTGTGACTGTGGTTACAACTTTTTTTAACAGCATGCACTAGCCAAATGACCACCACTGCCACAGAGCAGTGGGTCTCAAACTTTTTGGTTAGCATCTCCTTTACATATTTTGGTCTAAATTTGTGCCCCGTGCCAGACGCACATTAATTGCTTTTATTAATTGTCAGCCTCACCACATTCAGTCAGAGGAGTCTCTAAAAAGGGTAACTACAGTACATGTTGCAGTGTTGAATTCTGTTCGGGCCACCATTTTGGCATCTTTTGAAGTCTCACAATGTGCTTGACATTTTCTTTTTTACTGTATGACCAGAAAAGACGTGCTGTTGACAAAAGTGACTTTACAAATACGTGCTGAACTTCAAAACAAGTTTGGATGCCCATCACTTCAGTTGGATTTAGGGTTGCAAAATTCTGATAACTTCACTAAAATTCCCCAAATCCCGGTTGGAGGATTCCCGAATTTCCTGCTTAATGTTTCCTGATTCCTGTAATATTCCAAACCGGGATTTCTGGAAAAGCTGTCAATTTGGGGAAAGTTCCTAGAATTTTGCACTCTAGTTGGATTACTGTTTATTACTGTATTAGCTAATGGTGTTCCAACCTTTTCTGTACCACTCAATCAATACTTGATTTGATACAGAACTACGAGAGTTCATCAGCAGCATTGCCAACAGCGACGGCATTAAACATTTTATTTTTATATATTTTTTACGTCGACCTCGACCATAATACCCGTCGCTAAAGCCTCCCTAGAAGTTGTTGATGACGAGCTGAACATTTCTGTGTGAGGATTAAAAACCTCTGGATTTGTTTGGGGTGGGGTTTATCCCCCTTAATGATCCACTCTCTGAGCTGGCCTTGCCCCCAGGTCGTGATGGTGACTGTGGCTCACTGGCCTTCAGAGGCTGGCTTAAGAAGAAAGACAGAAAATGTACATTTGTTCAGTTCAATTTTCTCAAATATGTTAATTGGGTAGCGCTAAACTTTTGTTTTTTTGTTTACATTTTTCCAGAGATATTTTGGATTTACTGAAAAGTGAATGATAATAGGCAGCTTATTTACATAATACCTAAGAATTGCTGTTTGGAATTGATCCCAACCCTGATTTGTCTCACCAGTAGAAATAGATCCATGAAGAGACATATGCTATCCATATGTAAAAATTTTATAATATTCTATCCCTCTCCTCCTTTTCGACCAACCAGCACCCGAGTCTCCACTTCCGGGCCCCAAGAAGCTGGATCTGACCAGGGAGAACCTGAATGCCCTGCTGGGCCCCGGCAGCTTCAAACAGAAGAGCCAGACCCCTTCCACCTTTACCAGGGGCAGCGGCCAGACTAGCGGGGGCCGAGGACCAGGTACAACACAAGCGGTTGGGGGGGGAGAATGGATATGATGGGAGACAGGGAGAGGGATGGGTATTTCTACATATAGCAATGGAAAATGGGTATTATCTGAGAGAGATTGGGGAGGTAGATGATAGATTGAGAGAAGAGACTGAAAGATGTGACAGGGTTAGAGGTAGAGGAGATTGGAGGTAGATTACAGAGCTACTGTAGAGGGAGGGGGGGGGGGGGGGGGGGGGGGGGAGCATGGATAGAGGCAACCAAAGAGTGAAAGGGTAGAGGGACAGACTTTGAGAGGAGGAGTAAGGCCTGGGAGAGAGGGAGAGAAGGAGAGAGGGAGGGGGAGAGGGAGGGGAGGAGGGAGGGAGGGAGGGGGGGCCAGAGCTCAGAAAGTGGCCTTAATGATGGAACAGGAAGGGAATGAGGACAAATGTGAGCGAGGGATCAGGAGTATGTACACCTCCAAAGAGAAGAGACAAGCGAGGGGCCACGAGAAGCAAGGAAAGATCCTAAGGGCAGACTCTTTTAACCTCTGTCCCAAATGGTGCCCTATTCCCTATATAGTGCACTACTTTTAACCAGGGTGCTTCACAGGGTTGTTTGGTATTTTCAATTACCGCAGCACATACTTCTAGTTCTATCCATCGTATCTGGCTTTCTCCTACTTTACAAGAGAAGAGGCTACAAAGATGAGACTCAGGGAGGATTGGAGGAGAGAAAATGTATTCCGCGGCACGATTGGTTCCACCTCAGTGCATTTCCCCCTGTGAAGCAGAAAAGCCCGGCGTATACATCAGCACATCGATCGGCCCTAAACTTCTCCTTAAACTCAGGACTGTTCAATGCCTCCTGGGGGCTAGTCAGGGGATAGAAGGGAGGAGGAGTAGAGGAGGGGTGGAGGTGGAAGATAGGCCACCCCCACTCCCTCCCTAAGTGACTGTAGTTTGTGTTGGGATTAGAGGTAGAAAGGACTTTACCCCTCCGTGTTTGACTACTTGTTCTTTTTGGTGTGTTGTTCTCCTTGTATTGTCTATTGGAAGTCACTCTGTTTCTCAAAATGACTGAAATGGAATGTAGTGTAGAATATGTTTCTTTCTCCCTGTTGTGCAGTGAAGCTGGGCACCAGTGATCCTAAGAGCCGTCTGAAGGACATCTCCAGAGAGGTGGTCCAGAAGGCAGGGGAGGTCCGGGGGATGCACCCCTCCAGGAGAGACCAGGACAGGACGGAGAGGAGGAGACAGGACACCCGCTACCGTGGTATGGAGCTATACACACACACACACACACACACACACACACACACACAGGCAAATCTACACACACATACTACACACACAGAGAGGAAAAGCAACTGATATGAAACAATAGTGGCATTGCACCATGCATGTACACACACACACACCAATGAAAAGACAATATTACCCTTGACACAATGCTCTACACAGTACACACACAACCCATCATTACCAACATAAAAATGCACAAAAAACAAGCATGGCCAACCAGGCAGGGTGGTTTGGGAGCAATGTGTCAGGATGGGGATCATCTCTCCCTCCCTTTTTAATCAGGCCCTTCCACGTACTGTTCTCTCACTACTGGATACTGTTCTCTCACTACTGGATACTGTTCTCTCACTACTGGATACTGTGGTAGTGGCTATATCAGCCCTGTTCTATTTGGATTCCTAGCTGCTGTCCGTAAGTGCCATTTCAATGTCTTGAGTGTTCACATGACAGCGTTAGTGGAGTATGTGAGAGTAGGATCATGGCCCTGGACCCATATTGCTTATATCTAGGCCAGCAATAGAAATAAGGCAACATCTATGGTTACAGGAGACCCACTACCACCCTCCTATAGCCTAACCCCTCCCATGCTACCATAAATAGTCCCTCAAAGGTATTGAGGTTTGCTGTGTGTGTTGGTGGGGGAATTACATGTAGATTGATTTGAAAGCAATCTCTAAATTGTTCATAAGAACGGAAATAGGATCAGCATACCCTCCCCAAAGCCTAACCTGAACCATTGGAGGAAAATGCCAAACTGATCATAGATCAGTGTCTACAGGCAACTTCACCCCTTTCCTCCTTGGTCTCTAACCCTCTGTCATATTTCCTCACCTGTCCTGTCGTTTCATTTCTGTGAACACCAAACGGGTTGGAACTAAGGGCAAGGTGCAAGGAACTGAAATTGAACTAGCCCCCATAGCCACCCTGTTAGCACCAGGCTCACGTCCCATTATGATTGAATGCACCAGGCTAACAGAGGCTAGCGTCATGGCCTTGATGAATGGTGATGCTGGAGGTGAGTTCATGTAAGTGGAATATATCTATCTCTAATGCTGCTCGTGACCAGGCTAGCTCTCTGCTAAAATGCTGACTTCAAAGCTACTTGACAGTTTTAGTTTCAAGTTTTAATGTCACGTGCGCAAGGACAGTGAAATGCCTTTCTTGCGAGCTCTAAACCCAACAGTGCAGTAATCAATAACAATGTAATACTAAAAATAACATGAGGTAGAACAAAAACATACGAGAAAAATATGTAAGAAGGACTATTTATGGTAGCATGGGAGGGGTTAGGCTATAGGAGGGTGGTAGTGGGTCTCCTGTAACCATAGATGTTGCCTTATTTCTATTGCTATATACCTGGTCAGTTCCACTACCATATTTACAATGTGCAGGGATACTGAATCGATAGGGGTAGATATGTATAGGATAAATGATAAACAGAGTAGCAGCAGTGCATATGACAATTTTATGTGAGGGGGTGTGCGTGTGTGTGTGAGCAAATTATGATGTGAGTGTGTGTGTGTTGGAGTGTCAGTGTGTGTAGTGTGTAGGGCCCTGTGAGTGTGCATAGAGACAGTGGAAAAATAAAATACAAGGATCAACTCGGATAATCCATGTACCTATTTTGTTAGCTATTTAGCAGTCTTATGGCTTTTGGATAGAAACTGTTCAGGAGCCTGCTGGTGTCAGACTTGATGCACCAGTACCGCTTGCCATGCGGAAGCAGAGAGAACAGTCTATGGCTTGGGTGGCTGGAGTCTTTAACGATTTTCTGTCCCTTCACAAAAATAATAGCAAAATAAGAAAGTTAGCATTAAGGTCAGATAGGGAGAGTTGGTGTCAATGGGAGACATTGGCGTCATCCTATTTTCTATATAATGCACTACTTTTGACCACAGGGCTTTGGTCAAAAGTAGTGCACCATGTACGAAATAGGTTATCATTTGGGACATTGCAGTTAGTGTTACCAGGACACATTTTTCCCTGTTTTCATCTTGCATAGTGTAACTGTGTTGACATTTAGCTTCCAACCCTAAATGACAAGCATGCTGTGTTAGCATTGCTACACATGCATAGTTAGACCATCTTTGTCTTTGTCGCACGTGCGTACACATGCACGCACACACACAGCTAGACCAGTTCACAGAAACTCTTACATAGACGGACACACATGCACAAAATCGCACGTAAAATATCACACGAGTCTCTCACACACACAATGTGAACAGCGTAAATTATGTTCGAGGTGATTTAACTCTTGCACGCCCCGTCAGCAGATTCCCTATCCGTAGCGACTCCATCTCTCAGGGGAGGTTACATCCGGGGCGCTGTGGAATATAACCTCCCATAACTCTTTCTGCACACCTGAGACTCAGTGAAGGCCTCAATCCAAGATCACACGCCCTGTCATGCTATTAATGAATATTCATATGGTGATTTAGACACATTTTTATATCAGGGGACTTCCAGTTATAAAACGTACAGTTGAAGTCGGAAGTTTACATACACTTAGGTTGGAGTCATTAAAACTCGTTTTTTCAACCACTCCACAAATTTCTTGTTAACAAACTATAGTTTTGGCAAGTCGGTTAGGACATCTACTTTGTGCATGACACAAGTAATTTTTCCAACAATTGTTTTCAGACAGATCACAATTCCAGAAAATGATGTCATGGCTTTAGAAGCTTCTGATAGGCTAATTGACATCATTTGAGTCAATTGGAGGTGTACCTGTGGATGTATTGCAAGGCTCAGTGCCTCTTTGCTTGACATCATGGGAAAATCAAAAGAAATCAGCCAAAACATCAGAAAAAAAATGGTAGACCTCCCAAACGCCTGAAGGTACCACGTTCATCTGTACAAAAAATAGCACTCAAGTATAAACACCATGGGACCACGTAGCCGTCATTCCGCTCAGGAAGGAGACGGGTTCTGTCTCCTAGAGATGAACGTACTTTGGTGCGAAAAGTGCAAATCATTCCCAGAACAACAGCAAAGGACCTTGTGAAAATGCTGGAAGAAACTGGTACAAAAGTATCTATATCCACGAGTCCTATATCGACATAACCTGAAAGGCCGCTCAGCAAGGAAGAAGCCACTGCTCAAAAACCGCCATTAAAAAGCCTGACTACGGTTTGCAACTGCACATGGGGACAAAGATCGTACTTTTTGGAGAAATGTCCTCTGGTCTGATGAAACAAAAATAGAACTGTTTGGCCATAATGACCATCGTTATGTTTGGAGGAAAAAGGGGGATGCTTGCAAGCCGAAGAACACCATCCCAACCGTGAAGCACGGGGGTGGCAGCATCATGCTGTGGGGGTGCTTTGCTGCAGTAGGGACTGGTGTACTTCACAAAATAGATGGCATCATGAGGAAGGAAAATTATGTGGATAAATTGAAGCAACAAGACATCAGTCAGGAAGTTAATGCTTGGTCGCAAATGGGTCTCCCAAATGGACAATGACCCCAAGCATACTTACAAAGTTGTTGCAAAATGGCTGAAGGACAACAAAGTCAAGGGATTGGAGTGGCCATCACAAAGCCCTGACCTCAATCCTATAGAAAATGTGTGGGCAGAACTGAAAAGGCGTGTGCGAGCAAGGAGGCCTACAAACCTGACTCAGTTACACCAGCTCGGTCAGGAGGAATGGGCCAAAATTCACCCAACTTACTGTGGGAAGCTTGAGGAAGGCTACCTGAAATGTTTGACCCAAGTTAAACAATTTAAAGGCAATGCTACCAAATACTAATTGAGTGTATGTAAACTTCTGACCCACTGGGAATGTGATGAAAGAAATAAAGCTGAAATAAATTATTCTCTCTACTATTATTTTATTTATATTATTTCACATTCTGGTGATCCTAACTGACCTAAGACAGGGAATTTTTCCTAGGATTAAATGTCAGGAATTGTGAAAAACTGAGTTTAAATTTATTTGGCTAAGGTGTATGTGAACGTCCGACTTCAACTGTACATCCAGACCAGTACAAATGTAGCATGTGTGGGAATAAAACCCACAACCCTGATGTTGGAGGAACAATGAATGCTCCATCCAACAGAGCCATTGGACCCAGTCATCCTAATGTTGAATAATTGTCCCTTAGTGCATCTTCTGTTAGTCTTTGATGAAGCGCTTTCAGTAAATATAGTTGAACGGCAATTAAAAGGGCATATATTTCACAAGTTAATCTTTACTGCATACCTTACTGCATACCCCTCCCATTGAATAACATATATCACTGTACTGTTCCAGTGGAGATGTCCAGTCTAGTCATATTTTTAGAAAGTGGCCGGCATGTCTCTGTCTCGTACACACACAAACAATTTGTCCTCAGTCATACACATCTCTAGGCAACAGACTCCTCTATTCAAGGAGTCATGGACAGCCAGCAGGGAGTACGTATACACACACACACACACACACACGGCCACCTTTCATCATTAATATCTCCACAGACATCACAGCGTGAGGTTGCTACCCATACTGCTACGCCACGGAGACACACACGGCATCCCGCCGTCCATTATTTATACCTTCCTCATGTCTACAGACGTACAATAAACCACAACCTCATTGTTCCCATACCCCACTACACCCCTGCGGTCTTCCTTAGAAAACCCTGTGTCTGGCTTGGAATGGCATTAAAAGTCGAGAGTTGTTGCACTTGGCAAGGTTTTCACAATACACTGGCATTTGGCATTAAAGGCAGCAGTTTGGATAGTACGCCAGCTCGAGTGCAATGTTGGAATCAGCATTTCCCCTGTAGAAAAAGTGACTTTCTTAGCGACATCAACCAGAAAAGGTTATTTTCCTAAGGATTTTTTAAGGTCCTCTCCTCCCACCCTACTTTGGCCTCGGAGGAATTGATGTGACTCAGTGGGTTTTGTTTGCCTCTTTTCAGACAAGCCTTGGCGACTTTGTAATGACAGATGTGTCATTGACTGTGGTCCTCTGTAGCTCAGCTGGTAGAGCACGGCGCTTGTAACGCCAGGGTAGTGGGTTCGATCCCCGGGACCACCCATACACAAAAATGTATGCACGCATGACTGTAAGTTGCTTTGGATAAAAGCGTCTGCTAAATGGCATATTATATTATTATAGATGTCGCCCAACGTGTTTATTTTGTCTCATATTGTAAGAAAAACATGGAAGCTCTAAATACGTTTTGCTGGATGTTTTCTACCTCATTGTAGCCAACAAATTTGAAGAGGACAGCAGCTTTTAACATCTAGGGTAAATGATCTTGATATTTCTTTCATATTTGAACAGCAATATCTGTAGAAAAAGCTTACCACATCCTTGTAAGTAGCAGACAGACCTCTAGGCCAATGTCCTTATGAAATGTGTACCCACACACTGTCCATGTCCTCCTAAACACTACACTTGAATAAATTCTCATAAAATCCCGCTCTCTTTCCTTCAGAGCCAATACCAGAGAGGTACTCGCGCTCCGCCTCCCCACCGGAGAATTGCTTCAAGCCGCACCTGTATGCCAGCCAGGGCAAAGGGCCCACCAGGACCGAGAGGACCCCCCACTTTGGCGGCAGGTCCTCCACTCATGAGGGGCCTCCTCACTCCAGTGTCCAGGTACTACCAGCCCTGCCCAGCGGCGGTGGGGGCTCCGGTGGCGGCCATTACAGCCGGAGACTGGAGCAGCTTTCTAACGGCTACGACACGGACAGCAGCCAGGACTCACGGGAGCGCCCTGGGAGCCGGGACGGTGGCCGTAACTCCAGTTCTAGCAGCAGTAGTAGCAGCAGGCCAAGTCGGCCATGGAAGCCCATGCGCGAGGTGCTAAACGTGGATAGTGTGATAAGTGGCGTTGGTGGTGGTGGAGGGAGTCAGGCGCACCGGCAGCACAGTCCCCACCGGATACCCTCCAGCCAGGAGGTGGCGCCACCCTCCCCCGAAAGAGACAGGGACCGGGACTTCACATGGGGCGGGTGCGAGGAGCACAAGCCCAAGAGCCTGATGACCATCTACGAGGACGAGCAGCGGCCCGAGACGGGCGGCAGCCGCAGTTCACTGGAGTCGGAGGGCAAGGACAGGTCAAAGGGCAGCACGGTGATGGCGAGCACGCTGAAGGTGCGCAGTGACAACTGGAAGTTCCAGCGCACCGAGTCGGGATACGAGAGCAGCGACCGCCTTAGCAACGGCTCGGCTAACCTGGACTCGCCAGTTGTGGAGAACTTCACGTCCAAAGAGCTGAGGCCCATACCTGAGGTACACCTGACAAGGTAAACAGGAGTGTTATTTTCCGTCTGCTGTTGATTCTCTTAAGATCATTTGAAGCATTAAGAGATTTAGTTAATATACAGTGCATTCGGAAAGTATTCAGACCCCTTGACTTTTTCCACATTTTGTTACATTACAGCCTTATTCTAAAATGGATTAAATTGTGTTTTTCCTCTCATCAATCTACACACAATATCCCATAATGATGAAGCAAAAACAGGTTTTTAGAATTGTTTCGTAATTTATTAAAAATAAAAAACGGAAATATCACATTTACATAAGTATTCAGACCCTTTACTTTGTTGAAGCACCTTTGGCAGCGATTACAGCCTTGAGTCTTCTTGGGAATGACGCTACAAGCTTGGCACACCTATATTTTGGGGAGTTTCTCCCATTCTTCTCTGCAGATCCTCACAAGCTCTGTCAGGTTGGATGGGGAGTGTTGCTGCACAGCTATTTTCATGTCTCTCCAGATATGTTAAATCGGGTTCAAGTCCGGGCTCTGGCTGGGCCATTCAAGGACATTCAGAGACTTGTCCCGAAGCCACTCCTGTGTTGTCTTGGCTGTGTGCTTATGGTCGTTGTCTTGTTGGAAGTTGAACCTTCGCCCCAGTCTGAGGTCCTGAGTGCTCCGGAGCAGGTTTTCATCAAGGATCTCTCTGTAGTTTGCTCTGTTCATCTTTCCCTCGACCCTGACTAGTCTCCCAGTCCCTGCCGCTGAAAAACATCCCAACAGCATGATGTTGCCACCACCATGCTTTACCATAGGGATGGTGCCAGGTTTCCTCCAGACGTGACGCTTGGCATTCAGGCCAAAGAGTTCAATCTTGGTTTCATCAGACCATAGAATCTTGTTTCTCATGGTCTGAGAGTCTTTAGGTGCCTTTTGGCAATCTCCAAGCGGGCTGTCATGTGCCTTTTACTGAGGAGTGGCTTCAGTCTGGCACTCTACCATAAAGGCCTGAATGGTGGAGTGCTGCAGAGATGGTTGTCCTGCTGGAATGTTCTCCCATCTCCACAGAGGAACTTTAGAGCTCTGTCAGAGTGACCATCGGGTTCTTGGTCACCTCCCCGACCAAGGCCCTTCTCCCCCGATTGCACAGTTTGGCCGGGCGGCCAGCTCTAGGAAGAGTCTTGGTGGTTCCAAACTTCTTCCATTTAAAAATGATGGCGGCCACTGTGTTCTTGGGGACCTTCAGTGCTGCAGAAATATTTTGCTACCCTTCCTCAAATCTGTATCGGAGATCAACAGACAATTCCTTTGACCTCATGGCTTGGTTTTTGCTCTGACATGCACTGTCAACTGTGGGACCTTATATAGACAGGTGTGTGCCTTTCCAAATCATTTCCAATCAATTGAATTTACCACAGGTGGACTCCAATCAAGTTGTAGAAACATCTCAAGAATGATCAATGGAAACAGGATGCACCTGAGCTCAACTTCCAGTCTCATAGCAAAGGGTCTATAAATAATCGTATTTTTATTTTATACTTTTTTTTGCAAACATTTCGCTTCATCATTATGGGGTATTGTGTGTAGATTGCTGAGGAAATGTTTTTATTCAATCCATTTTAGAATAAGGCTGTAACGTAACAAAATGTGGAAAAAGTCAAGGGGTCTGAATACATTCCGAAGGCACTGTACGTGCACACAGCAGAATCTACTGAGGTTATTATGCTAGGGTTTTCATTTGTTGGCTCGGCAGTGTGTCTTGTTTGGCGATAATGATCCCAACTAGCTGACGACTGCTCCCCTCCCAAGAGGCGCAGTCAGTCGATGGCCAACGCCAGTCTGACCAAAATACATTATGCAATCCAGCGTCTACTGACAGTAGTCATTATAACAACATAGTTCAATATGTTAATTCATCCCTATGTATATATTTCAAATTGATTAATATATTATATAAATACATTACTCAATGAGTGAATTATCTGTTTTCGATGAGTCAGTACTATGACTATATGGGACTATATATACTGAGTGAACAAAACCATTAAGAACACCTTCCTAATATTGAGTTGCACCCCAGCTTTTGCCCTCAGAACAGCCTCAATTCGTCGGGGCATGGACTCTACAAGGTGTCGAAAGCGTTCTACAGGAATGCTGGCCCATTTTGACTCCAGTGCATCCCACAGTTGTGTCAAGTTGGCTGGATGACCTTGAGTGTGAAAAACCCAGCAGCGTTGCAGTTCTTGACACAAACCGGTGCGCCTGGCACCACTACCATACCCCGTTCAAAGGCATTTAAATATTTTGTCTTGCCCATTCACCCTCTGAATGGCACGAATACACAATCCATGTCTCAGTTGTCTCAAGGCTTAAAAATGAGTCTTTAAACCTGTCTCCTCCCCTTCAGCTACACTGATTTGAAGTGGATTTAAGTGTCATCAATAAGGGATCATAGCTTTCACCTGGATTCACCTGGTCAGTCTGTCATGGAAAGAAAAGTGTTTTGTACACTCAGTGTAGGTACTTTATTTAGACCAAGATATCCATGTCAAAATCGGTAAGTGAAATCTCTCTAAAAGGCCTTAATGTAGATAATCTCTTTTACATGCGTCTGTAGATCACTGAACTTCATTGCTAGTTGATTTTAAGAGGTGATAGTGCAACTGTATTGAAACACTCTAGCTTATTGTGTTAACACCTCTCAATTCAGTGCTCCATTCCTGTTAGGTCACAATTAGTATTGACTCTTCTCAGTCACCTGAATTCATCAATGCACCAACCGAGAAGAGAAATGGATTTTAGCCATACATGTACTAAACTAAAAAAGCAGTTTTGTAGATTAGTATCAATTGGTAGAGCATGGCGCTTGTAACGCCAGGGTAGTGGGTTTGATCCCCGGGACCACCCATACGTAAAAATGTATGCACACATGACTGTAAGTCGCTTTGGATAAAAGCGTCTGCTAAATGGCATATTATTATAAATCATTCACAGAACAAAGTAGTGTGGAGTGGATTTGGTAGTGGAAAAACATGCATGTCGAGAGACAGCATACAAAGGGACATGCTTAGAAAGAAAGGCCTTTGTCATGTGGTGTCAGCGTTTGACTCAACCCTTCCCAATTTGTGAATTTCAGGGACCCCTTCCCTCACTGGCGAGGTGACGACTCCAAGACCGACATCTTGCATTCCTCCTTCTCCTATGGTAAGCACTACAGGGTAAAGTTTCCCCTACAGTAGGTACAGATCTAGGATCTGCTTCCCCTCCAACCGCTGTGGTAATTCACCATTAATTGTCCGGCCTTCCCATGATGCTTTGTGCCAGTTGCCTTTCGGCCCTCACGTACACAACTCCTTATTTGTTTTGCTAGTTTTTTACACTTGCTTCTCAGGTATTTTTAATGATGTTGTCCTTGTTTGTTAGTTCTCAGAAAAGCCAAAGCATCTGGGAAAATTCTCACTTTTGCCCAAAGCAAGAACACGCAAAAAATATTAAACGAGGCAGCTGTGCTAATTTTAAGTCAATATTTTGACGACCTGGATGAGACCTCATCTAGACTATATTGATTATTGTGTAAAGTGACGATGAGTGAAAAAGAGGCAGCTGAACCTTTCCGATGGTAGGAAATATAGTTTTCTGTCAGCCTCTGTGTCTGATATGGAGGGAAGGAAGACTGGTGGAGTCATTATCATCAGAGAATGATAATCTTTGTCATTAGGTCCTAAAGTTTAATTTCCCCCGAGAAGTTTAATGTGAAGTATAAGGTCTAGAGATATTAAGAAACACCACTCTGTAATTTCCTTGATTTATGGTCCCATCAGTGGTGCTAAGGTCATAGCCCAATGGTGGAGATTCTGTATGGAAGTACATGTGAGACCGATTCCTCATTTACTGGATCTGACCTTTTCCAGAGGAAAGTTAATGTGTGCTGTGCAGTGCATAGAGTAATATGATGTGTCCTGCCCTGAACAATGCATGTATGAGCATGAAAAGTGGCGTGGAGAGGGGTGAATATCAATGTAAAAGGTATTTTAACACTTAATATGTAAGGTCATGTTTAACACTTAAGACTTAATCAACCAGTTTCAAAGAGAACTGAAACTGAATAAAAGCCAGGTTTACAACTAGCTATAAAAGCAATTTTCTGCCCCCAGACAGGATAGAGGGAGATTAGTTGACATGAATAGCAGCAGGGGGGTTTGCTGCTCAGACTAGGGGTGTGAACATCTAAACGAGATTGGGATCCTTACATGATTACCAAACCGGCTCCGCTGGTGCATGCGTCCGCCCGCCTGCCATCGTGCGCATGATGATTTTGTCTATCCCCACCAGACACATTTATGACACGCAGGTTAAAATACCAAATCCAACTGTGAACCAGCTATATTAATTTGGGGACAGGTCAAAACAAATATGAAATATTAATGGACATTTAAATAGCTTGCTGTTGCTAGCTAATTTGTCCTGGGAGATGAATATTGGGTTGTTTTTTTTTTACCTGAAATGCATATGGTCAATTTCTTTGCTGGATCTTTGTAGAATGTTGGCCCATTTTGAGTCACACTAAATCCTGTGTTCTCTACTCTAATAATTAATCCACAGATAAAAGGGGAAACTTAGTTAGTTTTTTGTTTGTTTTCTTTGATTCATCTCTCCTCGTTCATTCTTCTGTGGATTTTATATGGCGGTTGGCAACCAACTTTAAGGTGAACTACCGCCACCGACTGGAGTGTGGACCTCGTTCATCTTTCAATCACCCACGTGGGTATATGCTCGTAAAAACGAATGAGTAGATGGGAGAGGTGGGACTTGCTGAGCGTCCAGCGTCTATAATAGAACCAAGTTCTATTTTAGCGCTTGGCTACGCAGACACGCGCAAGCAGTTTGGATTAAATGATTAACATGCCTTCAGAATGTATTCAGACCCCTTGACTTTTTCCATATTTCGTTACGTTACAGCCTTATTCTAAAATTGATTAAATAAATAAAAATCAATCTACACACAATACCTCACAATGACAAAGCAGAAACAGGTTTTTAGAAATTTTTGCAA